TCTCTAGAGTCTTAGATGGGTTTTCAGCTCAGCATAGGAGAAAAAAATATATTTAACTCAACTGTCCAACAACTTCCTACAATATACAGTGGGTTTGAAAAATTAAAGCCCATTTCATCATAAATTTTTAACTGATAACAATAATTACTTAAGAAAAAACTACTAAAAAGATTTCTGTATTATATAGAAAACCAGACCATCAGTGGCCTCAAGTCTGGCTGTGTGTTACAATCAACTAGATGACCATGTGACTATTGATTTTTCAAGGCCCCATCCCATTGAATCATAATCCCTGGGAATGGGGGCCTGAGAATTTATATTAAGAATTAAATTTTGTAATTCCCTAAGTAATCTTGTTGATTTACCAGACTTGGAAATCAATGAACTAGATTACTTCAAAGTTCTCTTCTAACTCTCTGATTCAATGATGATTAGAAAATTACAAAATATTTTTCTTAATAAATAAAAGAGAATTATTTATAATTTATAAGTGAATTTGTTCTAAATGTACATTGGTAGCTCTAAACTGCCAGCAGACCACCTGATTTCTTAAACAGGCTAAAACTTTCCTTTCAATCTAATGAAAACTATGTATCATGGAAAGAAAAACTTTATCTGGCTTGTTTCCCAATTATTAAAGTTCCAAATCACTGAAATAAAAATAAATGAAACTTTACTGTACTTAGAAAACCAGTATGATGAAAAATTTGTTTACACCAGGAGGTTTTAGGTCATCCTTCAATCATTCATCCCGGGAACCAGAGTACATAAGCGCATGGGCACACACGCATGCACACGCGCGCACACACACAAATGTGACACATGGTAAATGTTGGGCAATTACTGAGACGGAACAAAGGAAACCTTCGGATTCCATCTCCTTTTCAACCTTATATTTTTCTATGCAAGAATCTAGGAACTCAAATCAAAAGCATCCAAATATTATTACTAATCATGACATACTCAGTTTTGTTTAAGTTTCTCTTAATTCTGCTTTTTAAATACATTACTTTAGTCGGGGGGTGTTAAGATGATGAGTAAAAAGAAGTATTTTTAAAATATTAACATGTCTGCAGAGAATATACAAATTTTGACTAAATTTTTCCCCAGGTAAAGAGCTTCTAACAAGTAGACCATGTTGCCATATTAAGAAACTCTAATTATTGCAGTAGTGCGACGTTTGTAGATTTTTCCTAATCTAAAATTAAACCTGTAGGGCTCTGCTGGAATTATTTAGAAATGAATAATTGAAATCCACTTTAGCATGTTGATTCTCCTAATTTTACTTTTTAGTTCACAAGGTATCTTCTTTCATGGTGTTTTCAAAATCACATACATCTAACAAATAGCATAATAATCAGAGTTTTCAATATCTAATACATATCATTATTACCTGTCATTATTGTCACTATTATAATTGCACATTGTAAAAAGAATGGAATGGAAACTTCTCTACAGGAATTATTCACGTGTATTACTTTCTAGGAGTAATTGAATAGTTGACATTGCATTTACATCAAAGTAAAATATGTGATGGTTTTTTTCATTTGTTTTGTTCTTAAGAAATGTAAAGTAATCTTTATTAGGTCCCTTTGTGGATCCAGAAACATTCATAGTTTTATGTAATGTCCAAATATATACTTTCTTATAACAAGGCTCAAAAGGTAGCCAATGAAATAAAGTAATAATCTTCCAAGAACATAATTATAACAACTGAGTAGTGAAGTCTTCTTAATTAGCTTGTTTTTGTATTCATAAACTCAGCAAGAATCTCCATGAAAATCTGTACTTTTCTTTTTCAGATATTTAATGGGATTTGGCATATTGAAATAAAGCCCTCTTTATACTGTCAATATCTAAAGACTGAATAATAGTAATTTATCTTAGAGTTTACACAGAACTTTTCACTTCATAGTAATTAATGCTAGAACCCAGTTCATCTGGGTCTAAATTATAAGTTATAGTAAAATAAATATTAAAGAATAAATTTGTATTTAAAAAAGACCTTGGCCTGAAAAAATAGAAGACTTGTGTCTGAACAGTTTCTGCCACGTTGTTTGACTATAGGAACCGCCTCACCTCTCCATAGAATGGAGTTATTATACCTATACATAGGGCTGTTTTGAGAGCCAACAGAGAAAAAGGTGAAAAAAACACTCAAATGCATTTTGTTATTTGATGTGTTCTTCCTTCTGGGCTATGCTACTTCTCACATGTGTTATCCTGTTTTTGGTTTCTATGCGATTCACCTTCACGCAGCAGAGTTTTAAACTTTATTTAGGGAGGTTGTGTAGCAAGCTTTAGAACAAAATACTCTAAGTAAAATGCCATAACAAATTGAAGGAATAATAACATAAAAAAACCCACAAAATATTTAGAATGTGTCTTCCCTCACTAAGAAGTCCATACATAATTAACCCAAAGCACTGTTCCTTCACAGACAACACACAGCCAATGAGGGTAGATGGTATTTTCTCTACTTCCACATAATTCCTCATCACAATCCCTGAGGAGGCCTGGATGGTTTAGAGATTTATCTCAGTTTGTGTAGAGCTTTCATTGCTGCTATGCTACCTAATCCTTTGAATCATGTCATTGTTGGTGGGGTAGAAGTTACCATTTGCCAGCTGTTCAGTGGCTTTACGTATTGATAGTCTCAGTCCAGTTCTTAGGGGACAGATGGTAATGACTGGCTCTTTGGGCAGAGACGACAAAGACTCTAGATTCTCTTTCTATCTGCAGAGATGGTCCATTTAGGTCAACGTTGAAAATCACCAGTGATTGGTCCAGGGAAACTGGCTTTATCAATTAGTAAACCTTACAAATATGACCTTACAGACATATTTGAATCATGCATTTTTACCTCCCATTGTCACTCCTGTACCACATTTTAAAAGCAGTATATGTATTTAAATGGTAAAGATTTAATTATATTGCTTTGGTGACACCACCACTTTAACGAGTCCTTTCCTCTATGTTTAATCAGCAAATATGGGTCCATATGTCCATACCTGCATTCTGGCAGTACATTAATGTGTCCTGTCGTGACAGCTGCAGAGTCCTGACTTCCAGGTGAACGGCTCTGTCTACACATGGTAACTAACGGCAACCTAAAAAAAATGTTTTTTTCATCTTGGCTTCTCTTCTGCTCACAGAGTGGTTCATTATTTGCACTAGAGCTACAGTAAAAAAAGAAAAAAAAAGTCTTATATTTGTTCTATAACCATGCATTTAGAAGACAATATGAAACATCAATTTTGTATGTATCACTTCAAAGTAAAAGAGAGGTACCAGCTGCACTGAGTTTCCTTAACCCCTCTCAACAAACCACCCCAATCACTGAAGGCCTCAAAATATGGAGCTCTTGGCTATTGAATCCTGTTTTTATTTCCCAACTACTGGTCTATAAGGGTACAAATCCAAAATACTTTAAATGTGGAGAAGCTGAGTTTTTTGTTTGTGGCAAAAATAACGTTGCATGCTGATACCACATTAGGCATTCTTCTGTAAGTGTGGCTTCTCTTATCTATGAGTCCCTAATTGGAGTTTCTTCAGAGGTATTTTTCCTGCTGAGGCATATACAATGCAGTCAATGGTACCAGAGTTTCATTAAAGGAATTCTCTTGTTCCCTTCCTTCACATGGAAATGCCATTAACTGTACTAAGTTAACTCGCCCAATGTTAGGTTCTTAACCAACAAACAGTGCTTCTCCACAAGGGCATACTTTGCCAAGCGTCCTTGAATCTGAACGAAGGCTGAATATGTAATAATAGACTCAGAGCCACACTGTGGGTTGTGAGCATATTTAAAAGGAACCCTTTTGTATTTATTGACTTTTTCCTTCAATCATGCCTGTTCTGTTTCTTTCACCACCACCTTCAGCCTTTCAGGTAAATGAAAAGTTCAATTACATGTAAAGAGACAGTTAAATCAGCAGGCCCCTTGTAGGGGTCTGGGCTTCCCCTCCCTGCTCCAATCACAAGTGTGCTCAATCCATTACTGTTCCTGAGGATGTACATCCATCAGGCCGAGTCTGCCGGCCAGGGTGCATCCTATAGCTTTTACTGCATATGAGACAGTGCAGGCCTGTTCTCAGGAACTGCCAGGCAGACTGGGAATCACAGTCACGGTTAATAGCAGTGAATTGCCAGTTCTTGATGGGTGGGTAGTCACTCCTTTCAGTGGTTGCCCCCTGGGGGAGAAGGTAGAAAAACAGAGGGAGGGAATTAGAGTGACTTTGCACAGTTGAGCAGGTTCATGCCGCTGGATCGGTGGCAAGTATTGGCAGAGCTCCACTCTGGGGAGGCTCAAAACAACCTCACAGTCTCATTTTTACCAATTGGTGCTGCTGTGTCACCCGTGGTGCTGGGGATGGGGTGGTAGGCAGGGGCAGAGGGGGGGCGGAGCGGCAAGGGGATGAAGGCAGAGGCCTCAGCCAAGTTAAACAAACGAAAAGTCCTGATCATAGTGGTTAGCCCACCCCAGTTATCCCTGTGCTACTAATTGTACCAAACTTGTATTTGAAGTTCCCTGGGTGATTAAAGAGTTGGCTCACAAACTCTCTGCATAACCTTAATTTTTTCAAGGTTCTTTGAGTGGAGAATGGCTTATAATAATGATTTTGACTAATACGATTTTTGACATGCAACTTTAATGCTTAACCTTAGTACAACTCCAGAGCATTTCATGTGTACTCAGCTGTAAAGAGTGATGATTTAAAGGGATAATATAAGAAAAAGGTCGTTCTAGAATGAACCTCTAACAAATTGTATAAAGGGAGCTTATTATTCCATGAGTATGAGGATATGCCGCTCTTCTGATCATTTTTCTGCTTGGTTCAAAAAAAAAAATTGTTGAGACATGAATGGGAGAAGAAACAGGAAAAAATGAAATAGAAATCTGCAAGCAAGGAACATTCTTTTGATGGTTATGATTTCGTTGCCACTGAAAGGCTCTACAGTAATGTGGTTATTCATCTCCTCTTTTGTTTTGGGTGAAGAATTCGCTCTAACAAGAAAATGCTGTTATTGGTTGGAGGATTGCCTCCTGGGCCGGACCGCCTTCCCAGCAATTTGGTTCAGTACTATGACGATGAAAAGAAGACGTGGAAAATACTCACAAGTGAGTGCCCGCCTTTATTTATCTACCTACCTGTTTATTTCACGTTAGAGCCGTCTTGACTTATTCAAAAACGTGGCTAATTAAATTAGACATTTTATTGATTTGTGACCCTTCAGAGGTCTGTTTACGTAGCAGTGGGGATTTAGAGTAAAAGATTAAAGTAACTTTGCACAGGTGGCCAGTCGAATAGGCCTACGTTAAAGCTGGCCTAAAATCACCGTGAGTTTGTGTTCCCGTGTGTGCTGAGGCAGAGGCGGAGGGCGCTTGAGATAAGCCAATAGAAATTCTTCAGTTATTTTTTGTTCATTGCGAAGTGAAAGGCTGGCTAACAGCACTAGTAAATTTTCACATCACATTGGTTGTTCATTTCATTGGCTCAGTAACTAACATTCCTTCTGCTTTATAGACATTTTGCTCATTAATTTTTAGTCTGTAGAACTTTGGTCTTTAGAGAAACACTCCCTCTATTGCTCCACGGTTTGGACAGACAAATAGCGTTGTGACCTATCCCCAGCTGCATTAAACTGTGCTTGCAAACTTCCACCCAACATCTTCCTCCCTCCCTCCTTAAAGGGTGATTGTGTTTTACAGCAAACCTCTTGCCTGGGGCACTGAGATTTGGAACTTATTGTTATATTGGCTATGATTCCCGATCGGATTCAGTCACGGAATCAAAACTCATCGTTTCCTGAGCGCAGCGGGCTGTGTGCGCCAGCCCCTTGTGGGCACAGTGGCTGCCCTGGTCAATAAAACTAAATTCTAACTGTCAAAATTGCCCAGAGCTGTATAAATAAAATAATAAATGAGGAATTTTGATCCATAAATCAAAGCCATACATTTAAAACCGACAAAAGGGGAAGTTAGGCTTTCTTATTGCATGTGTCTTTTAAATAGTTAAATATTTTATCAATTTTTTAAGATCATTTCCCTTCCTTGTACCGAAAACCCGTTAAAATAATATAAACATGACAACAGTTTGCCCATAAGAGCACAAGAGAAGCAAAGACATATGAGGTGGTGCTTGAAATAATACATTTTGGGGCTGGCTACCCCAGCTAAACCCGCGGTAGCATCGTCCAGGAGCTGCAACGAGAAAGCTCCCCGGATGCCTATACACTATGGTTGTAGTAAACAAGTGGTGGAATACTAGCAGCAAGATTAAGGAGGAGGAAGAAAGAAAAATAGCTTAGAGATGCCTTAAAATGATTTTTAATCTCTTTTTGTCAAAAATAATAACTTAAATATCTGAATGCCTGACCAAGCTGTATTATAAAGGTTCATCAGAAACAAAAGCGAAAGTAAAACTAAAGAATTTATTTTCTAGCACTTAATCCATAGAGAAGGCCTACATACAATGATATATGAATACTAGAAGGAGGAGAGAGGAAGGACAGAAGATTTTCAAAGAGAGATAGAGAAAGAGGGGTTAAGGGACAGGGAAATATTAGACCCAAGCAGCAAATGATGTTCATGTACAAATTCATCTCTTTTTCCAAATATGCTAGGCCAGGTCCAATGTGCTGTTTGTTTGAAGCCCTTCATTAAAGGCAAAAAGATTAATTACAGTAGTATGAACAATACCTAAGAAAAAAGTCTTATGTTCATTTTGAACCATGTTCTGAGATGGGGTAATCATCCAGCTAATTGTCCAAACTGGGACACTTTTGAGTTGGGACACAGATATGAACCGGAACGTATGGTCACTCTACTCAAATATTTTACATTGCCTGATATAACTCTTTACTTGAAGAGATGTAGTAAGAAAGCATGAACTTAAATCAGTCACACCTGGGTTCAAACCAATGTCTGTAATGTTAAGCAAGTCATATTCAAGTCTGAGTGATGGGTACTTCATTTAATCATAATAATTTGAGTGCTTTTAAAACAAAATTATATTTATAAATTATCTAACACATAGCATGAACTCAATAAATCATAGGTACTGTTGCTGTTATTGTGTTTTTTAATTTTTTATTGTTCAAATACATTTGTCTCCATTTTCCCGCCACCACTTTCCCCTGCCCCACCCACCCCCACCTCCCACCTTCAATCCTTCCCCACTTTGGCTTTGTCCATGGGTCCTTTATATGCATGCTCCTTGATTTGACCCTGCCCCTTCTTTTCCCCATCATCCCTTCCCTCTTTTCCTCTCGTTACTGTCGGTTTGTTTTTTCTTTCAATGTTGCTAGTGATATTTTTCTTGCTTGTTTGTTTTGTTGATTAGGTTCTAGTTTATAGGTGTTGCTATTATTGTAACACCATTACCAATATTAGCACAAGGACTGCACAGACCTTTATACCTTAAGGCTTCAAGCAACTCAAGCTCTCCCCAAACAGGGGAGAAAAATTCTACTACAGCAGACACAACACTTGGACCCACTGCTCCAGAGCAGGGAGCCTATTTTCTGTAGTTTCTATATGTTGGATGTAATAATCTACTAAGAAGTAAAGATAAATGAGTATCTGTTGACTCCATTCACCATGTTTTAAATGGAAGGAAACAAAGGCGTTAATGTATAGGAACATTCTTATCATGTGAATATATTCAAATATCTTGAACTTTTTTCTATATTTAGGCATAATCATAGCTTTGAAATAAATGTCTACTTTACTCATACTCTTTATGTCACTGAGACTTGTACTTTAAAAAGTAGAGTTTTTACCTGCTGGACTATGACTACAGGACCCCAAGTGAAGGCATATCTTTCAGGTTTGCTGCAGAAGTATACATAGTTTATCTGGATGATTTCTGCTGCTGGTCTGCATTTTTAAGTTAAGGCATTTTATTTGGCTACCTTGACTAAATAATATAAGATTTCCATACTATTTGTACCATCTAATCATAATAAAGAAATATTTCTCATTAGAATAAGAAAACATACAAATTCTCCCCAAATTCAACAAAACATTAGGGATTGCAGAGCTTCCCGCAGCCGTTCTTTTGACCCAGAACAACTGCTGAGCTAACTGGCAGGGAGGTGAGGATGACAACTAACGCCAGGAGGCAGCTCCTGGTTTGGGGTCTGCTTATTTATTGAATGACCGGCTCCATGCAGACTAACAAATAAGCTAACAAGCAAAAACCAAAAACCTGAGGTTAGCTGGAGTCTCTGAATCTAAGAATCCTTTGCCCACTTGGCCTGAGCAAGCATTTCACAGCCTGTCACACAGACACGCTCCTTTTAAAAAGAGGCAGGAGCACAAATACTCCCTTGCAGAAGCCATGCTATTTGCACACATTATAGAATTAAAAGGAAGGTCAGTCATCATTTTCCTTAGATCTCATCCTGTTGTGTTACTTATATTTTAGAAACATGGGAGGAGAGGAGCAAAATGGGAAAAATGAGGACAATTATAAGAAGGAAGGAAGGAAGGGAGGAAGGAAAACAGAGCAAAAGGGGATAATCTTACTAGATATTAAAATGTCTACAAATAAAATATATATATTTTTAGAAACACTACAGTAATAATAAACATTTAAATAATAATAAACTGAATACAGTGGAGATGAATAAAAATGAAAATATAGGTCTGCATAACATAAAGAAAACAAAATTCAACAGTCAGCCAACCAGTGGCTTGATCTACCCAAACAGCAAAAGAAACAATTATTCTCACTGAAAAGACTCTTTTGGTAACATGCTGGCACAGACTGCATTTTTGTCCTCCTCTTTGGAAAAATCATTTACTATAACATTATAAAATTAATCTTAGAAATAGTGACAGAGCTCCCCAGTCTCTTTCAGAAAAAAAATTATTGAAAGATTACATGTAAAAATGACTGTAAAGCCCTTTTGTTAAGTGTGAAGTGTTAAGTAATAACAATAAAATTGGCATTGTTGTTCTCTTGACTGTTAATAATAAAAGGGAAGTTAAAATGCACTTTCATTCATTTTTATTTTACAGTACTGCTTTTCTTGCATTTCTCACTCCTGCATGCAGTCTCCCGTTTCATTCTTAACTTATTAGAAAGCAGTATAGGAGACATGAATACTAAAATGGCCAATGCAAAAAAAACGTGCCTCCTGCACATTGCAGGCCCTAAATTCTTGTTGCAAAAATTTCCCTGGCTACTGTGTACTTTTCCTAACTTATTTCTTACATATCAAAGTTCTTATGAAGTCCAAGTGTGGGAAGCAGTGTACACGCCTCCCCAAGAGGGCACTGAGGGGCTGCTATTTCTAGTTGCAGTCCCCACAGACCAAGTTCTTTACTGGTGGGTAGAAGTGTTTCCCAGGGCCTGACTTCCTCTGTCCTGCATTTCAGATAACAGATTCTACTTATTAGGTGTTTCTTATTGCTTTCTGTGAGCAATGACAGGAAAATGGTTCCAAAATACATATTTATTCTCCCGCGTGCCAGTAATGACTTTCTACTGAGAATGTAATAATAAAAATTGGAAGAGTTAAGTTGGAAAGGCTTGTTCCTCCTTTAGGCCCCCATAACTCCCCTTTGTTAGAGGTCAGGGGAATGCTTCTTTTGCCCTCTTCCTTTCTTGTGATTTGCAACTCTGTCTTCTACTTGGTAGAGCAAGGATTTGGGAACTTGCGTGTTTAAGTTATGGAAAATAAAAGAAACCATTGTGCAGAGGTTTCCTGGGTTGGCCCCTCTGGTCCAAGGAGAGTATTTAACTTGATCACCTCCATTTAAGAAGGGTCTTGGAGCTGGGTGTCATTGATTTGTTTTAGGAGAGTCACAAAAATCAGAGGCTGGTACATTCTTCATACTTTTTAGAAAAATATTTACAAATATACTTTCTACAAGTTTTGAAGGAATAATACAGAGAAAGCAAATCTTATATGACATTGAACTTAAGTTCCAAAAGATATATATATGTTAGATCATATCCAATGTCTGAGCAATGGAGAATGGTTTAATTATTGCTTATTCGGGGAATAATAAACCTGCACGGATGCATTAAATTGGACTTCTTTCCTTGGACCTTCTGTTCCTTGATTTCAGTTCATTTTTATTCTTTGAGGATGTGTTAGGGGAAAAGT